AGCCAGGCTTGAAACGTGTAGTTATCTCGGTCTTTCTGTTAAAGTTACCTCCGGTCACAAGCCAGGCTTGAAACGTGTAGTTATCTCGGTCTTTCTGTTAAAGTTACCTCCGGTCACAAGCCAGGCTTGAAACGTGTAGTTATCTCGGTCTTTCTGTTAAAGTTACCTCTGGTCACAAGCCAGGCTTGAAACGTGTAGTTATCTCGGTCTTTCTGTTAAAGTTACCTCTGGTCACAAGCCAGGCTTGAAACGTGTAGTTATCTCAGTCTTTCTGTTAAAGTTACCTCACAGGCCAGGCTTGAAACGTTTAGTTATCTCAGTCTTTCTGTTAAAGTTACCTCACAAGCCAGGCTTGAAACGTGTAGTTATCTCAGTCTTTCTGTTAAAGTTACCTCTTAAACCAGTGGTTTCCAAACTGTGTGTCGCTAGTTTCACCAAGCGAGGAATAATTAAGAACGTAAAAAAAGAAACTCTATAAAAAATGTATAAATATTGCATGTAGCAGCAGGGGTGTCAAGGGGTTGGGGTGAAGAAAGTTTGGAAATCACTGTCTTAAACTTTAACTAAACCTAAAATTTACTTTTGTTACTAGTATAACGACATTTAGTGATTAAACGATCAGATAAGGGATATATAAGGATCAGGCATATCCATTCCTAATTTAGAAAGACTGAACAGAGAGAGGGCAACATACCATCAGTATCTGCCTATTATGAATATAGTCTTATCTGAATAATGGCACTACACTATATTATAATCAAATATCAATCCTTCCCCCTCCCTCAGTGTCTCAGCGGTAAGCCTGAGGACTTATAACGTTAAAAGTCGGGTCAACAACAACAAAAAACCGAGCCACCTACCGGCAAATCTTATGGATGTAATGTCCACATGCAGTGAGCCCGTCGGTAACATTCCGTGGCCTTGCTCTAAGGCTTGAACAAAGGTCAGACCTACTTGTTCAGCTGCCTTGGTGAAAGGACGATTCAGGAAGATTCTGCAGCTTACTATCACACTTCCCTTGCTGTAAAGATAAATCAAATAAAATCTGTAATCTTTCGAATCGCAATGAAAAGTACGATTTTTGAAACAATATATAGTTTTAATAAAACGTCTAAAAAGCCTCGATCGTTACAATTTGTTATCCAATAAATATCTTTGTACCAATTCTATTTTATTAGTCTTTGCACCAGCGACCAAGGAGACTTTTAAAGTAACACTATTAATACTATTCGTGAAATATTAATATTCTAGTGGCAAGAACGGCAGACAGAACCTGAATCCTATAATCTCCGTCCCATTGTAATCTCGAACCAGGGGGCTCATAACAAACAGCTCGTCCATCTGTAGGGAAAATTAATATACAGATGTAAATTGTTATAAAGACTGAACATAATGATATTGTAGCATAGATCACAAAGAATAAGATATAGATGTGATATTGTTATAAAGACTGAATATAATGATATTGTAGCATAGATCACAAAGAAAGAGATATAGATGTGATATTGTTATAAAGACTGAACATAATGATATTGTAGCATAGATCACAAAGAAAGAGATATATATGTGATATTGTTATAAAGGCTGAACATAATGATATTGTAGCATAGATCACAAAGAAAGGAGACGAAATACAAAGTTTAGAATGAGATGAGTTTTTTCATGCTATAAACAAAAGTCAATAAATCTAGTCATTTACAGAGCAGTTCTTTTGTAGTAACTTTCAACCAAAATCCCACTTGAGTGGGTGCCTAGTACAGCCCCTGGGTGTCCAAATCCCAAGTCCACTTAAGTGGGTGCCTAGTACAGCCCCTGGGTGTCCAAATCCCAAGTCCACTTGAGTCGGTGCCTAGTACAGCCCCTGGGTGTCCAAATCCCAAGTCCACTTGAGTGGGTGCCTAGTACAGCCCCTGGGTGTCCAAATCCCAAGTCCACTTGAGTCGGTGCCTAGTACAACCCCTGGGTGTCTAAATCCCAAGTCTACTTGAGTCGGTGCCTAGTATAACCCCTGGGTGTCCAAATCCCAAGTCCACTTGAGTGGGTGCCTAGTACACCTTTCATGCCCACTTGGGTGATTACCTAGTACAGCCACTTGGTACTCAAATCCCAAGGCCAGGTGAGTGGGTGCCTATTATAGCCTCTGGGCATCCACATCCAAGGCTGGAGCCCTGCCAGTTACAATCACAAGCATTCATATTCATGGGGTAACAACATCCTACGGATGACCCCTATGCGCCTAATTGTCATGCAAAGAGATGTATATTTTGAGCCCCTTGAGCAAAGTGGTTGCCCAGTGAAATCCCCCTCCCCCCAAAAAAACAGTCTTGGATCTAGAGATAACAGTGCATGTGAGGAATAAGAGGAAACTCTATTTTAACATTACATTTAACAAACGTTAACAATGTATATATAACACAATACCATTTAACAAACGTTAACAATGTATATATATAACACAATACCATTTAACGGTATTGTGTTATATATACATTGTTAACGTTTGTTAAATGGTATTATGTTATATATACATTGTTAACGTTTTACATTGTTAACGTTTGTTAAATTATATATAACACAATACCATTTAACAAACGTTAACAATGTATATATAACACAATAAGTAAATGTAAAGGAACGAGGAAAACATAGGGCTATAGTGCCGGGAAAAAGCAACATAAATTTAATAGGAGTACGTGACATTCTACCCTGATTATTGGCTATACTAATATTTATCTCTTCTTCTCAAAAATATCACTTTAAGAGTAGTGTCAAGAGCTAGAATAATCATTAAAACGTTTAGCGAAAAAAAAGAACATTTTTATGGTGTGATATCTGATAACAATTGTAAGGACTATTTTAATTATTTAATCGTGCCCTGCACATGTGTAATATAAAGCAGACAAAATATTTATATAGATTTGTATTCGTACACCTTAACAACGAAATTTATTTACTGCTATATTTAAAGTGATGAGTTTGTTTAATGTATATATAATATACATATAGGGGCCCGGCAATCTGAGGGTCGCAGGTTCGAATCCCCGTCCCACATAACATGCTCGCCCTTTCAGCCATGGGGACGTTATAATGTGACGGTCAATCCCACTATTCGTTAGTAAAAGAGTAGCCCAAGAGTTGGCGGTAGGTAGTGATGACTAGTTGTCTTTCACTGCTAAATTAGGGACGGCTAGCGCAACTAGCCCTCGTGTAGTTTTGCGCGAATATCAAAACATACAAACAATTTTATACTTATATACATGATATTTTATTTCAGAGACAGTAATTGTACAGGGAAACGAGGTGATTCTGAATAGCTTATATTTACTTTAAAACGTAACGAGCAGTGACAAGAATTGTCAAGAAGTTTTTAGTAGTAGTTGAACGGAACAGAGGGTGAGATTTGTTAGCTAGAGTTAAAAACATCCTTACCGACTTGGTCACTTCTGCTGCCATCCGCAGGAAAGTTACACTGGTGTGGTCATTCATATCCATTCTGTAGTCACGGTTGGTCACTCTAAATTCTCCTTCAACTGCCCAGCTACCTAAAGTAAGCAGTTCGAACACTTTTATTTCAAGTTATAATCAAGACATATTTACATTAATATGCTCTTCCAGTGAGGTGAGAGTACTAAGCCAAACAGAAGGCACGGTCTTCAGGATGAGGGGGTGAATTCAATTCAGGCAAAGAACTCAGAATTTCCCCCTTATCCTTCCTTTGTTCGAAGATAAGAAAGTTCATTCAATTCAGACGAAAAACTGCATTCCCCCACCCCCTCTCTTTTGTTAGAAGATAACAGAATATACCCAATTCAGGTACACAAATGTGCATCCCCCCCTCCTTTTTGTTTTTAAAAGGAGGAGGAACATTCAGTTTAAGCAAAGATACTCGGAATCCCCCTTATTTTGTTCGAAAGAAGGGGCACATTTCACTTAGACAAAAAAGCAAAATAAAAACTTACCATTCCCCCACCTTTTGTTACTGTCCAACAGGAAGAAGTACGTTTGATTTCGACAAAGAGACTCAATCATTTTTTTCCCAAGGGTAGTGAGTACTTATGATTCAGGCACATAAACTCAGTATTCTACACTCCTCTCTTGTCCGAAGAAAGGGGACATTTTATTCGGACAAAGAACTAGCCAACAAAATCCTCGTAAGATCAATTGGGCTTATACTATTGTTACGTCTTCGTTTGTTAGTTAACTTTCCGTAACTTCGTTCCGACGAAACTTTAGCGACACAAGTCCTTACTTAATAAAACTGGTTTATTCTTTCTGAATATAACTTTACGATACACTTGATTTCAACATTCGCGCTGAAACAAACGCTATAACGAACTCCAACAATACTCTCTGACTGCAGATCAATTACTCACTACCTACACACATTGTCACGTCACGCCGTGACCATCTTATATATACCAGACCACCCCCAATCTAGCAAATGCTAGAGCACTCCCGAAGGAACAGGATAGTTCTAGAAACGTGGCGTGACACTAGTCAAATGACCTCGCTGACGCAACACTATATAGTGAGAGGCCTAATGAACCCATACCTTTAACGTGAAGCTAACCCTTGTTCTTCACGCGTGATAACTATGTGCACAGCTGTACTCGCTCAAACACAATAAATACAGTAATTAAATTGTCTAACAAAAATATTTGATTTCCTAACTTAATGCTCTATTTTTAATGAACAGCGAATAAAGAAGAAATCAGTCCATATTTAACTAAACATTCTCGATTCAACTCTAGAACCGGTGCATTTTTTAACGTTATTCTCGTCAATAAACCGGTTGTACACCTGGTGTTGATACAGTATCAACTATCATCCGGGGGTATTTGTTCGATCTTAACCAACGGTAAACTTGAACAGATTTTCTAGAATTTCACATTTTGTTTCTTTAATGTTTTTTTTTTTCATCGACTTTGTTTAAAAAAAACAAAAACTATACAGCTGTATTTTTCTATCGAGACAACAGTGTTTCAGGAAGATGTAGCACAAAAGATTCTAGTAATATGAACGATTTGTCGACGGAAGTAAGTTATATAAGATGTTTATCATTGTCTTTTTGACTGTAAAACAGATGAACGTGGATTACTGGATTTTCATCACTGGCAGTTTACTTGGCGTATATAATTCTTTCGTTTTACAATCAACGACTTTTACCACCGAAGTTCAAAACCAAGAAGACGAGAGTAAAATTATTATCTTCATCTCTACCCCCTGTCTCTGAAAAATGTTTTTTATGGCCTTACAGTAACCCTACTTATTGTGCTGGTCTCTTTTGTCAAGGAACAGTACTTCTTTTAGTTAGGCCTATCTTTTAAATTATGTATATTTTGAAATATTTTAGCTAGTGTTGCGATGTTCCTACAGGAGAAACAGTTTTTCCTGCCTAACTATTTGGGTAGTTCGCCGTGTTATATTGTTGCCTTGGAAACGCTTTCTCTTAGCAAGCGGTCTATCCTCTGCCTATCTTTCATTCTCTTTTCATTTCCTTATCTGCAGTCTTGTTAGTAACTCAGAGAACATCAAAATATTTTATTTCTGAGTGTGAAGATCACACACGCACTGAATTACAGTGTCTAGCGCTATGTAAGTTATCATAAATATAAATTTAATTTCCTTACGTTGCTGTCGTTCTGTGTCCCTAGATGTTGGGGGAAAAATCTAATTTAGCCTTGAATGAATAAAGATAAAGCTTATCTGTCTAGCATATTATTGATTCCGACTTCTAAACGATGCAAAAATAGGGTTAACAAAATTTGAATATATTGCACTGTAATTATTTATGAAGATAAGAAATTAGATAAATTTAGGGTTAGTTGTGGGGTTAATGTCCGTCTAATCCCACAGGAAAAACTCTTGAGTAACACATATTTTGTGTAGACTTTTCGGAGTTAGGGATACATGAATTTTGGGTGGGGTAATAGATCAGATGGTTTCGGGTGTTTAAGTTGGATCAAAGTGAATAAAACTGACTGTCAGACCGTTTTTCTGACAGAAAGAAGTGCAATTTTAATATTCATATCTGTCAATTCCGACCAAATGGATCATTCAAACTTCATCCCTCAAAACCATTTTTTATTCCTTTGTTTATTTCTTACAACCTCAAGGCTGGGATTGGGATAAATAATAAAGGAAGTTTCTCATTATTATCTCTTGCATAGTGAAAGCTATGACCCATGAATTTAATGACTCCGAGGAATATCATGAATTATGTATAGTAGCGGGGGGAGGAGTGAAGAGATTAACTACTGCACGATTCTCAAAAGAACTTTTTCCACCAATTTTTTCTTTTTCTATCTTTTTTTTGTCCAAACCCAAACTTGTCTTCTCATCTTCAGTTTATTCCTTGCCTGTGTTTGGAAGATTTCATTTGTTTATTCGTATATCTTGTGGCATTTAATAAAAGTAATACACCTTGTACACCTCAATTATCTATTATTGCTAAACAAATATATTTCACTACGTGCTTCAACCATCATCAGGAATAATTATGTATGGTGTTGGGAGTGGGAACACGATCTACTGTACGTTTCTTAACTTTTTTTTTTCACCAAGTTTTTCTACTTGGTTTTTTTTTCTTCTAAAAAGTGAAATACATTTGTTTAGCAATAATAGATAATTATGGTTTAAATGGTGTGTTACTTTTATTAGTAAAGAGGTTTAGATGATAGGATCAGAGACATTATCCATAAGTCTATCATTTTTTTTTGTGTTTTCGTCATTTTGTAAAGTAAACCCCTGTACTATATTCGGTAGAGTGTTACAGAGAGCACCATTTCAAGTTTTGTGTCTAATTTCCTGTACGTCTGTGAAAAATATTCAACTTTGATCTTTTTCCTTTCCTGTTATTAGTTTGATTGCGTACTTCTGTAATTATCATCGCCGTTTCGCTTTCACATATACTCACACTGCGTTTGTATTCCTACATTCTTCGTCATCGCCGTTTCGCTTTCACATATACTCACACTGCGTTTGTATTCCTACATTCTTCATCATCGCCGTTTCGCTTTCACATATACTCACACTGCGTTTGTATTCCTACATTCGTCGTCATCGCCGTTTCGCTTTCACATATACTCACACTACATGTTTGTATTCCTACATTCTTCATCATCGTCGTTTCGCACGTACATATATTCACACTGCATGTTTGTTTGTTTTTTCAATTTGGGCTGGCCCCGACCTCTAGGATACCATAAAATCATCCAACCATCACAAACTTCCCCTATCTATTAAGCTCTTTATAAACCTGCCTGTTTTCAGCCTATGGAGATTCAAAAGTCTGATGCATTTGTAACTTTTATTATGATGTACACTCGAAAATATGTCAGTTTGCACTAGTACATACATACATATATATATTTAGCGATAGCTGAAATCGTGTGCCGTTTTGAGATTAGTGTTGTTTAAGGATTAGCGTTTATGCATGAATAACTGTTGATGTTCTTCTACAATCCAGAGATTCTTGAACCTTAGCGATGTCATAGGACAAAATGCAAAAAGAAGAAGGGGGGGGGGACGTGATGTCATTGAGCTGTTATGACAACAATGAAGTGCTCGTAACCTCACTGGGCTGTCATTATGTCAATGAAAAATAATTAAAAATTTAAATTCCCTTAAACAAGGAATCTACGTTTATATGCATTATGAAAATAAAAAATATTGTGTTTACTTTTACTCAATTATTTTAAAAAATCCCCTCCGTTAGATATTTTGTCCTTAAAGTATACTACTTGTGTAAAGCCATCAAACAAAGATGAAAAAAAAGCCTAACCTTCCTCCTCTGTGCTATCTCTGGTATTGCTCCAATTCAGATTTCCTCCAACTGTAAACAAGGCAAAACAAATCCAGCTAATTACAGAAGTTTAAGTTAGTCTTGGTAAACCTTCAAAGTCACTTTTATTCCAATATAGTAAAAAAAAAAAAAAGAACAAGTTGGAATTAGCCACTACATTTTTATACACGAAATCAGTAAAATTTCAATTGAATTATTTGTTTTATTACATTATAGCAATATTTTCTATACATTTGTGTATTTAATTTTAATTCAATAAAACCAAATATTTGATTCCATTAACCCTGTAGTCAGAGCTAATCCCAGAAAACAAATCAAAACATCAAAAATCAAAAGGCAAATAAAAATATTTTCCTCAGATCAGAGAGATTTTACTTAACCTGTTGAAACAATTTTAATGGTTGTCATGACACAACAAATATACATATGTATATTAGTTAGAATAGAAATACCAGGCTCTACTATACGTGGGTAAAATGTATATTTGTATAATTTACATCAAGGCTTATGGTGTGTAATACCTAGATATGTCTTATGGTGTGTAATACTTAGTCAAGTCTTATGGTGTTTAATACCTAGTCAAGTCTTATGGTGTGCAATACCTAGATAAGTCTTATGGTGTTTAATACCTAGATAAGTCTTATGGTGTTTAATACCTAGATAAGTCTTATGGTGTGTAATACCTAGTCAAGTCTTATGGTGTGCAATACCTAGATAAGTCTTATGGTGTTTAATACCTAGATAAGTCTTATGGTGTTTAATACCTAGATAAGTCTTATGGTGTGTAATACCTAGTCAAGTCTTATGGTGTGCAATACCTAGATAAATGTTATGGTGTGCATTACCTAGATAAGTCTTATGGTGTGTAATACCTAGATAAGTCTTATGGTGTGTAATACCTAGATAAGTCTTATGGTGTGTAATACCT